ACTGCAAGAAAATAATTATAATGAAGAAGGCACTATAAATAGAGAAAAAGAATTCTCAATGTATTTAAGTAAAGTCACAGAAAATGATATTATACTAGCTATAGCAAAACTAAAAAACAAAAAGTGCTCTGGATACGATGAAGTCTGTGATGAAATAATTAAAGTATGTCATCTACCACTAGTACAACCACTAAAGCACCTGGTACAAAAATCATTTGATGAAGGTATATTCCCAGACCTACTAAAATTATCCAAAGTTATGCCAATATATAAAAAAGCAGAAGAAACGGAAAAAGTAAACTATAGACCAGTCTCAAATATCACTACCTTCTCAAAAATTTTTGAAATAATAATGGAACAGAAGTTACGGGATTACCTCTACAAATATAACATCCTCTCTGATACCCAATTTGGTTTTATTAAAGACAAGAATACTTCAGATGCAATTGTGGATTTCATACAACAAATATATAACTCATTTGATAAGAAGAGACTACTGACTGGAATATTTTTTGACATGTCCAAAGCTTTTGATTTAGTTGACCACAAAATACTCCTGAAGAAGCTTAGTTCATGTGGTATAAGAGGTAGCATACAGGCCTGGATGGAATCATATCTCAATCAACGGCAACAAATTGTGGAAATCAACCACAGTGACGGGGAAACAACCAAAGCCTATAGGTCTAATCCAGAGTACATAAAATGTGGAGTTCCGCAAGGATCGGTGTTAGGTCCACTACTATTCCTACTCTTTATAAATGAACTACAAAAATACATAAGTGATGGTCACCTTGTCAACTTTGCTGATGATGTCAGTATCTTAGTTGAAGCAAGTAACTCTGAAGAACTGGAGGAAAAGATTAAAAAAATATTTGAAAAAATGAAAAAGTGGTGCAATAAAAACAAGCTAATACTAAATGAATCAAAAACAAATATTGTACAGTTTAGAACAAATGAAAACACATCAATCATCAACAGTGCAACATTTACCGAACAAAGGGTACCAGAAGCAAAATTCCTCGGAGTACACATTGACCAGTTCCTGCGCTGGAACAAGCATGCAGAATACCTAATACCCAAACTAAATTCAGCAATTTTTGGTATAAAAAGAATACGGAACATAGCTAATGAAAGAACTGCAATGTTGGCGTACCATGGTATGTTCCACTCAATTATAAGCTATGGTACACTAATATGGGGAAACACCTCAATGAAAGAAGACATATTCAGGCTGCAAAAGAAAGCAATTAGAGCAGTGTACAATGTACCCCAAACTGAGAGCTGCAAACCACTATTTTTAAAAGCAAAAGTAATGACCCTACCAGCCTTGTACATTTATGACCTTCTAAAATACATCAAAAAGAA